AATTCGAGTCCCTTCGACGCCGCACTGTCGACTGTCCTTCGAAGGATTAATGCGTTTTACTAAATTAAGATTATATTTCTATGATTTACTCACTAATTCCCGTTGTAGCTCTCGTCGCATTAATCAATAAATTCCTTGGTCTTTCCACCGCGCTGACAACTAAAACAAGAAATAAAAGGGAAAGAAAAGAGAATGAAAAAAAGAAAAAAAGTATATATATATATATATATATATATATATATACATATATAAGAAAAAAAAAAAGAAAACGATTAAAAAATTGCAAATGCCAATATAATGATCATTCCCAGGAATATAGATTATTCTAATTATTTCTGTTCGAAAGCGAATGTTGAGCTGTGAAAAGCGTGTTAATAAGCTAGTTAACGTCGCCCCAGCCCCCCAGCTATTTACTAGTTTACAAGATAAATCAATATATTTCTCGATAAATGTCATTATACATTTAAATTCGATATTCCTTTTTGAATGTCGACGTATGTACGCATACGTACATCATTATTAACTTATTCTAAAGCTTTAAAGGAAAAGAAAAAAGAAAAAAAGAAAAAAAAGAAGAGACAAGAAAAGAAAAGAAAACGAGAATCGATCGTAATACATTTGATCTCTTTTTTTTTCTTGTTCTTTTATTCCGCTTGAAAAAACAAAAGAAAAAATTTTTTTTTTTTTTTTTTTTTATATAATAAAATTAACAATAATGAATCGTGTTGCATGATCCTTTAGAAAGAACATCCTAATACTAAATTTATACTTTTAACGTTAATTGATAAACAAATAAAGTTCTATGTAAAACTTGTTGCATGTTAAAAAAGGGTTACTTTCAATAGCAATCGATCGGCGGAAGAAAGAGAAAGAGGGAGAGAAAGGGAGGGAGAGAGAGAGAGAGAGAGAGAGAGAGAGAGAGAGAGAGAGAGAGAGAGAGAGAGAGAGAAAGAATATAATTGGCCACTTAAAATTTTCGCAATTTCGTTTCATTAAATAAGCATTCGATTTCGGTCTATTGAAATCATAAATCACATCTCGTTGCTATTATTTTTTTCTTTTTTTTTTTTATTCCCTCTTCATTTTATTTACCTCTTTCTTCGCGAAACGCATAAAATTACTCAAACAGCAAGACTGGCGCGAAAAATACGACTTTCCAACGTGCAATTTTGCTTGATCAATTGCAGGTATCATTGACTTATTGCAAATAATGAACTAGTATAATGATTAACGGTTTTACTTCGAGAAATCACTAGGGAACAATCCACGCACATTATTGACTTATATAGAATGAATATTAATTTTTTTGAAAAGGAAAGAAAAAAATGTCTAATGATCGCAGAGAGAGAGAGAGAAAGAGAGAGAGAGAGAGATTCGTATGAGATCATTTGACAAGATCATTTTCTTTTTTTTTCTTTTCTCTTTTGTTTTTTCCGTTTTTCTTTGCAATAAATCAATGATTTTTATAGCAAATAATACGATTTCTAATGATCGAAACTATTATCTTCCTTTTTTTTTTCTATCATTTAGAAGAAGAGAAAAAAGGAAAGGGAGAAAGATAGAGAGAGAGAACGAAAGCAATACACTCGTGTCTCTTTTATTGGCCACGTGTCCTTCTTATTTGGATAAGGGATCTATAAGCCGTAATGATCGTTTCTCTCGATCATAAAACACGCAAACGTACTGTAATCTGCGGCAGTGTCGGTCACGCGATGCAACAGGTCTTTCTGTCGTTGCACGACTCCGGATACTGCAACAACAAATAGTTGCATTTTTTACTCGGCGATATATCCGAGTTGTTATCTTTGACTATAAATGATAAATCAATATACATAATCTACGTACATACATACGTACATACACGTATACATACATATATACATATACGTATATCATAGAAAAAATGGATCGAAAGTTCCAAAATGATTTTTAAAATTTCAATTTCGTTTATATCTTCAAGCCGTTTTAATTAGGCTTACAATTTTACAAACTGGGATTGTAGAGTTTTACGATTTAAAAAGGAAAAAAAAAAAAGAAATGGAAGGAAAAGAATAATTGATTTAAAAAGTCTCAAAAAAAAAAGGGATGATTAATTTTTTAAATCATTTAAGAACTTTTGATGATACCCACTCTCTGTATGTGCATATAAGTATATATACTTTGTTCTTACAAATCTACATATCCGTCATTTATTGAAACAGAAAAAAAAGAAAAGGAATAAAGAAAAAAATATGAGAGAAGTCCGAAATTGTTGTGTCAAAGAAAAATCTTTTTTTCCAAGTTTTTACACTTTTTACATTTTACCATTTCGTTTCTTTGTGAATCGAGCGAAAACTACTTTACTATATTACCATCCTTGGCCTAAATGTTTTTCTTCTTTTGCTTTTTATTCATTTAAGTTTTTCAACTTTTGAATAATGCTCTTCTCTTTCTCTCTCTCTCTCTCTCTCTCTCTCTCTCTCTTTTTTTTTTCTCGAATGATTAATATTTTTTGCAACACTCAAAAGGCAAACAACAATGACAATTTCCAAATTGGAACAATTAACATTCCGCAAGAATGCAAACAACAGTTGATTGTCAGTTTTGTCAAGTGTCGAGGATTAAAAAAATGATAAATCAAAAAATTCGTAACATAACGATTTACGTTTAATAATTTTCTATCTCGGTACAGAAGAAACGTTTCTTCGTAAAATGTAGACGGATTCAAAATAAATTGAAAATTAATATCATTTGTCATTCTCAACGACATTAATTATCTCCTTTTAATACGAGCGTGTCATAGAAAAAAAAAAAGAAAAAAAAAGAGATCGTATATACGTAAAAAAAAAATTGTTGATGCTTGCGTAAAACAATACATATGACAAAAAAAAAATAAAACGAACGCTATGAGTAATCCATAAATACGTAAGTGTTAATAATAAATATTTTTTTTTCATCTTATATATGTAATTATTTTTTATCATAGAAAGAAAGAAAGAGACAGAGAGACAGGCAGAGAAAGAGAGAGACAGAGAGAGAGAAAGAGAGAGAGAGAGAGAAAAGTTCAATTTTTTTATATCGATGGATAATTGTTATCGAATGACGTCGTCGATAATATTCAGGAATCTTTGAAAAATATAATTAACACATAATCTAATACGTTACTATTTATAATTTACGATTATATTGGAAAGAGAAAAGAAAATGGAAAAGAGAAAAGAAAGAAAGGAAAAAAGAAAGAAAGTTCAAGTACGTACAGTTAATATAGAAATGTTATTCTTTCTAAAATAAATTTCGCAAAATAATATTTAAGATTAATTTATATTCAAGTCAATCGATAAAACGTTTTAATATACGATAATAATTGTTCACACGTGTCTAAAGCTATCAGATAAACGTGAGTTACTTCCACTTTATGTACTACGTAAAAAAAAATAAATATACAAGATTATTTATTTCTTTCTCCTCGAATTCTCAATCTAAATAATTAATCTGGTTCGATAAAATTTTCTTTGAATCGAATAAATTTAATCGTTTCATTCGACATACGTATATCTACGTAAATATATTAAACGAAGGTTAAAATCGTGTAGATCATTTTTTGATCGTCTATGATCTTCTGACTCATATCGTATTATAAAAAAAGATCATAGTTCGCACGATACTTTGATCGAACGAAAGAAAGAGAGAGAGAGAGAGAGAGGGAGGGAGGGAGGGAGGGAGGGGGAGAGAGAGAGAGAGAGAGAGAGAGGGAGAGAGAGAGAGGGAGAGAGGGACAGAGAACGTAAAAAATATTTTTAAAAACACTTTAAAACTATTTTTCGATATCACCGCTTTTACGACATTATATCTTAAGAGATCAATCGATCGATCACTATATATATATATATATATATATATATATATATATATGCTATAATCATATAAAGACAAAAATCGTAACCTTGATCAACGATCGAAGAACTATTGACGAAGAGAAAAAAAATTTATAAAAATAAAATAAAATGATACGAAAGTAAATCCAGATAATGATCGATGATAAAAATGAGATATACAAAATTAAAGGAACTTACGAAAATTTGTAGCACTAGAAGCGACATTACCAATGCCACCTAAGATAACGGAAGGTACAGATTCGTTGGGTTGTTGTCCTAGGGCTTGATCCGTGGTGATCCATATCCATAATGTAATAATAAAGTACAATCTATCGGTCGTTATAAATTGCATGATGAATGAAACAGATCCTTATAGATTCTTTTATCGTTTACGTTGATATTTAATATCTCGACTAGATGAAGAATCTCATGAAGATTTTTTTTTCGAAAAATACAGAATACTCTTCTCCTTTTTATTATTATTATTATTATTATTATTATTATTATTATTATTATTCTTTTCCTTTTTTCTTTTTTTTTTTTTTTTTTATTATCTCATAACATAATGAGACGAAAAATAAACAATATTTTATTCACGACGATCCGTTCGCTTCTAAGGAAAAATATTGACTGAATGAGAATGTCTTTGCTCGTAGAGGTCGTCGTATGGAGAGGAAATAGAAAAAGAAAGGAAAAAAAAAAAAAAAAAAAAAACAGAAAACAATAATAAAAGAAAAAGAAAAAGAAGAAGAAGAAGAAAAGAGGACTTCTTTTAGTTGAGATCTATACGAGTTTTCGATTCTTGTAACGTATTACGATATAGCGAACGCGCTCGATGTTCTCTCGAAAGTTTCCAATCGGTTACTGCGTTGCCAGTCTATACTCCGTCTTCTACTGTCTCGTTATTTTGTCTCTCGCTCGAAATTACGTAGGTATGTACGGTCTCGCATGTATCTATCTATGTATGTACACTCGATGAAAGCTAAACGAGCTATGAACAGCGGTCAAATCGAACAAGTCTTTCTTATACAAGTGAATTCGTTTCTAAGTTGAATAGATCGATAGATCGATCGACCTGTTACCAATTAAAATCGGTAGGATCTATACCGATAAAAATTAATAGGATTTATTTATTTATTTATTTATTTATTATTTTTTTTTTTTTTTTTTATTCTATAGGATGGCTCAACAATTCCTAGGTTTTTAGTTTAATATACTTGAAAAATTCAAAAAAAATTAATCTACAAAATTACAATGAAGTGTAATAATTGAATTTTAAAAGTGTCTTTATTAAAAATCGAACCTCTTTCTTTTTTTTCTATTTTACAATTTTTTTTTTTTTTTTTTTTACTTGTAGTTTAATAATTTGAAAAGAAAGGAAAAATTCTTTCTAAAGAAGTCCAAATGATTTTTAAAATCACCTAAGAACTTATTTATATGTTGAAAATTTCGGACGAATTTTAATATAATACAAATGTACGTACGTACGCACGCACACATAGACGTATACATGCAATCAACAAAATGACATTATTCCTTTTGAATTTTCTATCAAAAGAATATAATACCTACGTTATATATCCTAGCTATAAATGAGAGGAAAAGAGTGAGAGGGAGAGGGAGAGAGATAGAAAATAAGAGAATCGTTCACCGTTACAGAGGTCCATTGTGTTTTTACACAATTTAATCTCGTACTGCGTAATATCTACTGGCTTCGTCCTTTGTATTTCCGGTAGAAAAAACTCAAAGCTAAATTCAAAAGCTGAAATTTCGTGTCAAAGTGTTTTTGTTCCCCTCTGCCACTATCTCTCCCTTTCCCGTCTTTCCACCCGCATCGTTTGGATATCGATTAGCAATTCATATTTTTCTGAAATTGATAGCATTTCGATATTCAACTTTAAAGTAAAATTGACATTTTATTTCAAGGTCTCAACGAATTCGCATTGAGGAATCATTGCGATATCCCATTTTCTAATTTAACTATTCTTTGGAAATTACGATCGATTGAGTCACTAAAATATATGATCTATAAGTTATGATGATAAAGGAGAAAAGAAAAAAAATTAATTTACATTATACAAGATAAGAAGCCGATAATTTAAACGCTAATTTGCAATCTTGAGGAAACCTTGAGAACTCGTTGATTCATCCTGTTACGTTTACGTTCAACAAAAAGCTAATATTTTCATTCAGTTCTAATCATAGGTTTCTCGTCCTCTTGTAAATTTTATCTTTCGCTTAATCAAATATTATCTGTCTGCTAATTTGTCTATGTCATTATTTATTTATTTATTTTTTAATTTTGTTTTAGATTTCTTTTTCTTATCTTTTCTTCTTCTTTTTTTTCTTTTTTTTTTTTCTATGAACGGCGATCAGACGACTGCGTTGGGAATGGTCTTGGATAATCCCATGGATTTGGTGCATATGGTGGTCTTTGAGGTATGGGATATGGCGTTATGGCTCCAGCTGCTACTGGCTTTGACGTTGGCACGGAGTTCACTGTAGAGGCCAAAATCATTAGAATCGCTAGAACGGCAATAGCGACGAACTTTCTCAGTGAAATCTGAAAAGAATGTTTTAGACTTTCGTTAACTCTCACTTGATGGGTTGCGAATTATGCCGTCTCAACACGCTCGAAATTATTTAACGATTTAAATAAATCGATTCGGTCGTACATTTTATTCGTCTGTTTAAATTAAAAAAAAAAAAAAAAAAAAAAAAAAAAAAAAAAAAAAAAAAAAAAGAAAATATATATATATAAAATTATGCAATTATTCATATTTAAAGGTCGCGCTCGATACGCCATATTGAATATTTTACGCTTGCGATATCACGGAAGTCTGACGGAAATAATATGGTTATGAGTGTAATTCATTATTTCTGCTTTTATAATATTGAGAATAATATAAAATACTATAAAATAAAACTTTCTTATCGAAGGGAAATATTCAACAATTATATTACTAATACGATTCATTCATATTTTTTTAATGAAATAAAAAAGATTCTCTCTCTCTCTCTCTTTCTCTTTTTCTCCTCTTCTGGTTTTTCTTCATTTTTTAAATTTCGAATATTCGTATATGCATGTAAAATTTAAGGTTATATCGATCACTAGAATTTTATGATTACGTCGATCGGAAAAGTTCGAATTTTAACCGACAGATAGTGACACTTTCAAAGAATTTTCCGAAGAAGTAATGAACAAGTAAATCAAAATATCACTCTGTGTGTCTCCTTGAAATGGAATTAAAGAAGAGAAAGAAAAAAAGAAATAATAAAAACTCATTGGAGAGCGCGTAAAGGCGTCGAATGTTCGAACGTCTATAGAAAAACAACATTCTTATTCCTTTTTTATGGACCACGGAAGAGGTATTAAACATTTATTACTATGTCGAGACAGTTATACGAATTATGCGTTGTGTTGGGTGTGTCGATCTATCATCAGTTTTCTCTGTTTATTATTTTTCTATTCCTTTTTTTTCTCCTTTCTTCTCTCTTACTCTATAGAAAAATAATTTTTCTTATTTAAGATATTAATGATCGATCTGAAAGTATCCTAAAAATATATAGAAAAAGTAAAACGATAAGAGTACGATTAATAAAGGATGAGATTGATCTATGGTTATGAATTTAATTATTAAAAGAAATAAAAAAAAAAAAAAAAAAAAAGAAGAGAAGAAAGGTTAGAAAAATGTTTAAAAGAATATCAAGGCGTATATACGGATCGATTGAATTTATAATTTAAAAAAAAAAGAAAAAAGAATGAAAAAATAAAAGCAAAAAATCACTTTAGGATACAACCTTCTTCTCTCGCACATCAATATTTATATTTTCAACGAAAAAGAAAATCTGTCATATCGTTGATCTACGTATATTGTAAATGCACCGTAAGACAGTTTATTATATCGTTCTACACTATTGAAAAAATACTCATTTAACGGATTACATTTCGTTAATATATATTGATATATATATATATTAATATTTGATAATATATATATTAATTTAATAATACATGTATATAAATATATCACCCATCTTAAAGAAGAACATAAAGATGACGTAGAAATTATACAAAAATGCATCGAATTATACAATAAACTATGAACTTTACCTTTTATCTCATTAATAACTTGTTTATCAATAATTTCATTGTAAAATATAATAATAGATATTAACAATGGAATTAAAAAGGAATAGAAAAAAAGAAAAAGAAATTTCTTACTGGTTATTTTCGTTTCGATCTGTTCGGAAATGTTCGATAATGTTCGGTTAGATTCGTTGTTACTTGTTACTCGTCACAATTCGTTCAATCGAAATTCATTTACCAATTATACGTCGCACATAAAATGAAATGAAAGAAACGTATTGTATTATAACGTGTGTATTACAATATATATATATATATATATATATATATATATATATATATATATATATATATATATATGTATATATATGTATATATCGGAAATGAATTTATCGAATTAAAAATTCTTTGAAGAGATACGATAGAAGAAGTGGTTTGAATAATGTATTACTTCTTATTATTTATTTTTTTTTTTTTATACATATTACCATGTTTAATTTTTGTCTCGGAAGGAAGACTTTTCCTAGTAAGTAGACGTTGTGAAAATCTGTTTAAATCCTTCTTATCTTCTTTTTATTTTCTCTTCTTCTTTTTTTTTTTTTAACGTGTTACTTCGAATACTCATGACGAACTATAACAAGCTTTCCATAGAAGTAACCAACTTTTATACTCGCAATCGCTTAACTTTTAGGGAGGTGGTTAACTATTTAGGTCAATGGCCATACATTTGAAAGAAGATATTGCCCGTATGTCGTGAATTGAAAAAAAAAAAAATATCAAAGTGAAAAATGTCGCGATTTTATATACTTGAAAATTTCTTTCATCTTGGCATATGTGCCATTTTGTTTTCTTTTTATTTCATGCTCGTCACGTTTTGCCGTATGCACCGTAAGTCTCTGTCTATTTTTATCGAATTTAAAAAGTAATTATTTTTAAATTATTCTTCAAAAACAAAAATTCAAAAACGTTCTATAAAATGGAGAGAAAAAAAGAAAGAGAAGAAAAATTAGACTCTTTTTTTTTTCTTCAAATTTTATGCCTTCCAATGTCTCAGTATATTAACGAAAAAGAAAAAAAAAAATCATTTAGTTTATGTAGAATTGATAGATCCAAATAAAATCGTATTTATTTTTATCGTCCTCGAGCGCAAACGCGAAATCATACGTTTGTGTGAATTCATTAACTATGCGACGCGCGCTTTTCAATACGTCGATAGAATATGAAATGGTGCTTATGATAGAGCTCACAAGATATTTTTCTTTTCGAACAATGTTTCATTAACTTCGTCTTTAGATTTCGTCAATATTATTTCAAAGTAATACTCGAAGCTTTACGAATGAAATGTTTCTTCAAAGAATAAAAAAAGAAATAAAAAGAAATAAAATAAAATAATAAAAAAAAAGATTATATTATTAATACCAATCACAAAAATTATTTTTTTCAATTTACTCAACTTTATTCATATAATATTTTAATTTCTTCGAGTGAAAAATTGTATTATTAATAATAATAAAAAAAAAAAAAACCAAATTATTAACGTAAATATCATTTTATTATTTGATTAAAAAATTTGTCTAAACGATAAACAAGAAAATATTTTGAAGATGCCTTGACATACTTGAATTGTATGAGACGCGTTATGTATACGAATAGATTTCTTGAACTTACTTTTAATGGTAGATAAAAAAAAAAAAAAGAAAAAAAAATAGAGAGAAAAAAACTTTCATGAAATCGATGTTGCCAATGATGATGCGTTTGAAAAGTCAAAGTCGATTTTCGACAAATGATAATCATTCTTAGAATTGTCACTTTGAATATTTTTTTTGCGTTGCGTTTAATATCCATTAACGATGCACGTATGTATGTAATGTCGTGTTTCTTATCGTATTTACGTTAAACGTTTTTGTTCTTTCTTCTGATTCATTCCAATCATAATGCATTATTAATAATATTTATTTAAGGATTTCAAAATCTATGATTCACGTTTTACGATAAATTCGATATCAACATTGCATAAATGAGAATTACTTATAAAAGGGGAAAAAAAAAGACTGTTCAGAAATTTTCCATTTATTAAACGTTTCTCAACAATAATTTTTCTATTTATATTTTAATATTAATTAATCGCAACAGTTATTAAACAGTATATACAGATTAATGTTGCGATTAATTTTATGATTATATATGTATTTTTACATAAACTTTAATTATTTTTTTTTTTTTATAATTAAATTTAACAACAAATCATTATTTTCATTATTCTCATTATTTGATAAGTATATATAAAGTCTATAAAATATATAAAAACTTCACATTATTTTCTTTCTCTCTCTCTTGTGTAGTTTATAGATATTTGTCTTTTATTATGTACAATCTGGAAACATTTTGAAATAGCGTCATTAAAACATGAACGAAAAATTTTAAAAATTTCTTTTTTTTAAATATAAATATAATTTACGTAATATATAAAATTTACGTAACATATAAAATTTGAAATATGAACATAATCTATGTAACATAGTACAGAGATTACAAAAATTAATTATTAATTGTATAAATTAGTATTTTTATTATTTTGTATGAATGTTATTGCTTTATCATTTATTTTTATTCATATTATTGCCATTTAAAGATTAATCATGTTCTAATTCACTTTCAATATTGTTTTCTTCGTCATTTTCTTCCTGTACATTTTCATTTTTAGATGAAAAATGTATTACACTAAAAGTAAGAAAAGTTAATAATAATGATAATTCAAAATAGAATAAGAAATACAAATAGAAATTTTACTTACGAGATAAGTAAAAGTACCATAATTTGTGTAGAAAATGTTAACCAATATATAGAACTAGGTGCTGTATTAATTGTTAGGTTATAAAGTTGAGAATATAAAATACCACTGAAGAGAGGCACTGCGTTGTCACAAACAGATAACATAGCAAACACTTTACCTAAATCATATGTTTACAATTGCAATTATTTCATTACATTCTAATAACACATAATATAATAAAAAAAATACCTCTTTCTTCTATAGGAACAAGTTTGGAAGTCATTGATCTTAAAACTGGTGCAACGCTAGGACCCAAAGCTGCAACAGTCGCTCCTAAAGAAATAGTAAGTATTTAATTCTAGATTCATTAAAATATAATCAACATTTAAGAGATTGCATACCAATGTAAAATAATTCTGGTATAGTGGTTAAAGCAAAAATAATTCTACCACTTGCATGAGCTAGAGCACCAATTGCAATAATTACAGTATCTCTTAATCCTAATAGTTTACTCATTATAGGTACACCAATGAGCATTGCTAAAAAGAAATAATGACATATTTTAAATTAATATTCTTTGAATAACTAAATGATTAATTACTATTAATTATTATTTCAACTCGACTGACCTACTACAAAGAGTGCCGATTGAAATGTTTTAAATGTACTGAATTCTGCGACGCCCCATTTAAACTTGAGTTGCGTATAAAGATAGCTCATAGGTTTCTCGTCTCTTTGAAAAGTGTATAAAGCCATTGCTAATAGGAAAATCCAAAGATAAACTCTTTCATGATCGTTTCTTCTTCTTATTAACGTTTTTATTGTTTCTGCTACGTGCTTTTTATCGAAGAAATCAATGAAAGGATTAACGCCCAAAATTTGTCGTTGTTGAGTGGACGTTCGCCATTTGAGATTTAGAAAGGAATATATAATAGCAATGGCAAGGAGAACAGAGTTTATTGTAAACATTATACTGTACGACGAATTTAAGACCTTCGTGAAAAGATACGAGCCAAGGGCCACACCTAGAAAAATAGAAAAGGGAGAAAAAAAAAAACACGATTTCTACTTCATTCTTACCGGTAGGCATAGTACTAAGATAAACAACATCGAGTATAGTGATTCTTAAAGTTCTCTGTTGAACTTTTGTTACATCCGATATATATGAAAAACAGCTGGCAAATATAGCAACGTCACCTCCAAGCATTCCCATAGGTAAACTCGCGGTATATATAACCATATTCAAATTCCATGTATTCATTAAGGAATTAATGATCACCATAAAAGAATATATAAATTTGCCAATCAATCCTAAAATCAATGGTAGTTTTCTACCGTGTCTATCGCTCCAATTTCCAAAAAACAATGCTAAAATTATCGGTACCACGTGTCCCGCTATATTATTCCATTGGTGAAATTCCGATACGGTTATCTAGAAAATGACGATTTAACAGATTAATAATCTAATTGTTAGGATATATTTTAAATCATTGAATTTATTTTAATTCATTAGATAAAATTATTACTTACCTGAACTTCGGCGTTTAAAGTTTTGTTTGTTTTCAAATTAACACATGTTTCTTCGGATAGACCGTGATTGACTCTGCAAGCTTTATAAATGAAAAAATCTTGTTCCACTACCGAGGTCACCATGAAGGCCATCATATAAAGCCACATAGTTGGTTCCACCGAAATGTGTCTCATCCATCCAAAATATATCTTCAAAAATTCGCATCTTGAATGACTATTTCCTTGCATCATCTGTAATGACGTTCGTTTAAATTTAACGCGCGCGAAATACTTTCATTTCTTATTTTTTTTTTTTTTTTTTTATAATTGGTGCTACAAGATATAATAATTTGATCAATATATTAAAAGAATATAATTCGATTAGAGAAAAGGGAGAAATATTGTTATTACAATAAATCACAAATATTAATTAATTTTTGTTAAAAGAGAGAAAAAGAAAAAAAGAAACGAATTCTTACCTCGAATTCTATGTTTTCAATGTTCATGCTTCCATAAAATTTCTATTAAAGATTCACGCATATATATTAAATTCTGCTAATTCGACTCTTTTAAAGAAAGAATATCCTATTACTATACATCTCGTATTTTTGTATTCTCGTTGCACAAAAAAAAAAAAAAAAAAAGAAACGACCAAGTTGTTGATTTATTCAATTATTAATACAAACAGAATGTAGCTTATCTCTTCTAACGTCACGTTATGAGGCTGATACTAATTACTTTTCTTTCGAGTCTTATCAAGGCTATTGAATATACAATGATCAAATGATAAAAAAAAAAAAAATTATCAAATAAGAATTTTTATTGTTATTTTTGATAATGAAGGAATTTCTTTTTCTCGTTATTTATAATTATAATAACATAATTGTAATATATATTGCAATAATCATAAGAAATTTAATATCGTTAGATGATATTGTATGTTTAATATTTGTTTTATAGTCATCCATTTCATTTATAGGCACAATATATATTTTCTAATAGTTACATCATACTTCTTACATCATCTAGTCGACTATTTGTTTAGGAATTATTTTACAATTATCGTTTCGAAATCTTTTCTTTTTCCATACGACGCATGGATAATTATTATTATCTTTATCTCTTAGATTTGATTTTATTTTGTTTATGTTATATGTTTCTTTCATCTTAATAGAAATTTCCGATGGTATTAATAAAATTGACCTTCTTCGCTACTCTTCCTTATTGGTCTATTTCATTCATTGTAAATTTTTTAACAACATTCATTCGTAACATCCAAGTAACATGCGTTTTACTGCTTGATGGAATGTTTGTAGGAAGGAATAGAGTATTAAAATAATGTATCTATTTTCAACAACATACAGAATTTCTCTTTTGCATGTATTTTTTCATTCTATATAATTTTCATTCTATATAATTTTCATTTTATATAATTTTCATTCTGTATAACTGTTCACAATTTTATATCATTTAATAATGATATAATAAAATAAGAAAATATAAAAAAAATAAAGAATTAATAACAATATTAAATTGAAACAAATGAGTCAATAACAAGATATAATAATCTGTCTTTGTTTTCAATTCACACGTCACAATTAAAATAAATTTTGTTTGCACATGCACTTTAATAATAATACTTTTAATACTGCTTTAGATTGTAAAATTATAGTAAATATTCCTGCTGCCATATTGGATTATTAAACACCATCTAGCAACGCAAAATGAAAGTATCGTAAGCAAGTATTTTTGGCGGGAAAATACGATTAAATGTATGACAATTATATTTAATAATTGATATAAATTATTCCAAGAAAAGAATTGTCCTCGATTAAATCTTTTCTCGATCATTATAATGTGTGAAATAAAATCGATGAATAGTATTACTTCATCAATGAATCGTTATTAAGATATTATTAAAATTTTTTTTTTTTTGTATTATCATTAATTAAAACTATATGTGAAATTCTTCATTTCTATATTAAAAATAAGATAGACATAATGTCAGTTTGTTACTCGTAATAAGCGTTCGCATAAATATCTCTTTTTCGATGCTCTTTTAAATTTTTCTTAAAATTGTTGATCAAATTTGTTTTTATAATTTATCTTTTTAAGATTTAACCTCTTCGGTTAATGCTAATAACTAATTTGTAACGTTTGCGTAAATATAAACAGTTACGTATATATATATATATATATATGTGTGTGTGTGTGTTTGTATATTTATATATTTATACATACCTTTTAATATGTAGTTTTACGGTTCATTGTTAGCCAAATTGATAAAAATCCATTAATTATCATTATCTCAGCTGTTTATTTTATCTTATCACGTTATTTTGTATGTTTTAATATGAAGATTTCAATGCACGTGCGATTCATAGTGATATATAGCGAAGATTTATTAAGATCAATAAAATCTTTCACTCAATAATTTCTTATTAAACCAATCCAAATTTATCAAACACGTGTTCCGAACTATGTTTAATAGTAATTCTAGTTACTTATCGTTTGAAAGTTAAAAAGTATGACATGTAGTGACATCTGTCAACGATTTTACCGATCAATTAGAATTTCTCGTTATATAAAATCAATCAGTTCAATAGTTTCAACTAAAAAAAATTCAAAATCAGTTCAAAATTTTAAACTAATTTAATGATTGATTTATCAAATATTTTGATAAATAGATTTAAAGCAAATAATCAATTTAATATTTTTTTGGCGGGCTTTTTCAAATCCTTCAAAATATTCCATCGAAATAATATTCCATATTTTACAGCAATAGAATTTTTATAATTCATATTACACGTAACATAATATTTAAGAATGTTCACAAATATTAAGTTGATTAATAAATAATGTCAAAAAATTTGCAATATCTTATATGTAGATGAACAATTTTAATATGTCTTTTTACTAGACAGTGATCAGCTTTATTATTATAATAAAATATTATAATCGTGAGTATATTTAAATTTATTTTCATCAAATAGATTCGCCAATGATCCATTTCTACTTTAGATAATTAAAATTTGCGACATTTTATAAGTAAATGAAGAATTCATATATATATATATATATATATATATATATATATATATATATATATATATATATATTTTTATATATATTTTTTTTCTTTTCTTCTACCAGACACAAATAAAAATATATATATATATATATATATATATATATATATTTTTATATATATTTTTTTTCTTTTCTTCTACCAGACACAACGTTACACATATTTGACCAAATTAATATTACAATAAAATTGTTATCCAATATATTTAGATTAATTTTATTTTAATTAAATTGACTCACCGCAAACAATGCGTCAGTTTATTTATCTTAAATAAATAATAATTAAAATTTTATAGTTAAACGTTGCTTTATCAAATAGACATAGATGATCAAATAAATATATTTTCTAACCTCGCTTGCGTGGATAGAAAATATACTAGTTTCGCATAAATCTATAGTTCATATCTAAATAAAAAGAAAAAGTATCAAACTAGTTTGACCAGTCAAAGTACAATCTTTTTGATTATAATTTATAATCCAACGTTACTTAGTTAGAAACGAATGAAACGTACGTATGTACTGCGGACGAATTAATAAATTGTTTATTAACCATTATATAACTTTTAATAAAAATTTATTTCGCATTCTATTTTAGATAATCTGCATTAGGCAGACATGTATTGACGTATATTTTCATTATATAGACGCAACTTAGGCCACATCGAATATGATGCAAGTATTACATATCGTTTATTAACTTTCTAATGTCATTGATTTATTTGTTCTCTTTCTTTGTATCTGCGTGTGTGTGTGTGTGTATGTGTGATTATCTGCATATGTTCGTCTGTACCTTTAATGTTCTATTTATTTATTTATTTTTTATTTTTTATTTTTTTTTTTTATTTATTTTAATTATTATTATTACAAACAATTATATTGCGGAAAATAGACCGATTTAATAAGAAATTTCTCGTTATACTATATATTCTCTATATTTAGATTTTTCTATTTTTTTATCTATTTTCTTTTTTTTTTCTTTTTCTTTTTCTTTTATTTTTTAACGATATCCTCCGAAAGAAATTAATACACGATAATGAACTACGAACGTTTAAATGCTGTTAATACATCATTTCAAATTCGAAAGTTTTATATTTTATCGTCTAATTCACTATATCCTTATCGTCTTTTCTATATATTATATATGAAACTTATATGTATCAATTATAACACAATAATATTAATAATAGTAATAATAAAAAAAAAGAAAAAAAAATAATAATAATAATAATAAATGTACCTGCCAAAAATATACATAGCCTCTATATGACGAAAATTTACGAAACATTCTCTTTTTTTATTTATTTAATTTTTTTCTTCCTCTTTAAGACGTAAATAATAAAAATCTGTTCGGATGATATATATATATATATATATCCATAATAGTATTTCAGACGATAAGGATTTAACGAAATATTTGATTTAGGACGTACGACCTTTTATCTATATTCTGTTTTTTTCATATTTTTTCTTTTTTCTTTTTTTTTTTTTTTTCTTTATTAATTTTTATTTCTCTTTTTTTTTTTTCCTATTTTCTCTTCAATGCATTTCTCTTTTTTCTTTCTATCTTTCTATCTTATCTCAATCCGTTCGAACATATTATATTCTAAATAAATGTGGATCGAATTAACACCGAATGAAGTTATTGTCGTGTTACATTAGACACGATTATTTTGGATTTTATAATACAATCAATACAGACTTTTCACATACGATTGAAACTTATTATATAGAAAATTAAATTTTACCATTATTACACTATATATATATATATATATATATATATATATATATATATATGAATGTATGTATGTATAATATACATAAATCTTTTGTGTGTGTGTACGTCAATGCTTGGTTAAGCGTTATATATTTACTTTTGTGCGTTATATACGCACTTAGAGGGAGAGAGAAAGAGAGAGAGAGAGAGAGAGAGAGAGAGAGAGAGAGAGAGAGAGAGAGAGAGAGAGAGAGAGAGAGAGAGAGAGAGAGAGAAAGAGAGAGAGAAAGAGAGAGAGAGAAAATTCACATACTTGTCAGAAATATCACACAGCACATTCTCGCACTCATATTTACATACCTGTTTGCTTTTATATCTGTATATATATTATATATTTTTTTCTATATAATCCTATGTAAACCCTTTGGAGAACTTTTCGTCGTTCCAATTAAAGAAAATGTACTGATTAAAAATTTTTCTTTTTTTTTTTTTTTTTTTTTTTTCTTTTTTCATCTCGCACCGATAATACATACACTTCTTCATCACTTTGTTACATATATTAATAATTTTTTCCTTTTTGTATTTTTCGTTTTTTAATACACAAGCATTAGGTACACGTTCCCAAATTAAAATTTATCTAGAAAAATAAAAGAAGGAGCAAAGAGAGATAGAGAAAAAAAAGTGAGAAGTAATCGTTTCATTTTATTTATTTTTTTCTCTTTCTTTCTTTCCTTTTTCTTTTCTTTTTCTTTTTTTTTTTCTTTTTCTTTTGCAGAAACGCATGACTCGGAAAAAAGGAAGCGCTCGGAATGATTTTCTAAATGATTTGTTGTTATTGTTTTACTATTACATCGAAGATTCTTATTAAGGCCGTGTAAATATATTTTTTAATTTTGTTGTTGTTGTTATTGTCAATCATTTTTTTCTTTTTTTGCTTTTTATCGGCCAGATTCACGTCATTACTAAATATCGAAGGCGAGAGAGAAAGAGATAGAGAGAGAGAGAGAGAGAGAGAGAGACGAAAAAACGAAACGGATCTCTTTATCGCAACGTAAATGGATTACGTACATAAGTACGTCACGAGTTAATTTCTTTTTGTTTTTTTTCTTTTTTTTTTCTTTTCTTTTCTTTTCTTTTGAAATCATAATCGCTAACTTTCCGTGGTCCCCTTCTGTCTAAACTCATTACTATTAATTATTAAGAGACATTTAATTATATAATCAAAATTCCTTCATTATATTCTGATTGATTTCGTTGTATTTAAACTTGCTACGTCTGTTATCGGTCAAATTTTAATCTGATAGAATAAACGACGAATTTCTAATTTGTAATAATATCTCTAAAAGAAAACAATGATATGATTTATCATAAAATACACACAATAATGTTTATCTAAATTTTAATCACATCATTTATAATTAAATTATGATTAGAACTTTTGACAAACATTAACATGCATATTGTTTTAATTTTTATTCGTCGAAATAGTTAAAGACGATTTCAACAACACGATTACATTTATGTATGTATGTACGTACGTATATATTAATCTCCAATATCGACAATGAACACGGAAGAAATGTTAAAAGTCTTTATATTTCCTTAACAATTAATAAGATTTAATGATTCTGATACGATTAATCGTTCATTAAAGTTGATTATTTTATATTTAATTATTAATTGAACAAGACCGATAGAGAAATTTGATCATTTAATTCGTATATTTTATCTTTATTTTATTTTATTTTCTTTTCTTTCTTTCTTTTTTTTTCTTTTTAATTTTTTTCTTCTTCTTCCTCTTCTTCTCCTTTTCATTCTCTTTATCCCTTTGTTATTCTCCTTAAAATATCTGACGAATTATGCATGCGAAATATACGTGCTTCTATATATTTAAGACCATGTATGTATGTATGTATGTATGTATTTATGTATGTATGTGATATATATTTAACATCAATTGCGAATAATTTTGTCAAAGTATACATAATCATCTATTCACATATCAATTTCGACTTGTATAATAATTTTAAATGGAGATAGTGGATAGAAATTTCCTAAATAGAAATATTATTATTAGCTTTATCAAAATTCGCTATTTTGAACTAGATAGTATTTTTGTATAATCATATGTATGTGTGTGTGTGTGTGTGTGTGTGTATACGTACAAGATGGGGAGACAAAAAGTTGTTAAGTCGTCCAAAAGTTATTTGGTTTGTAATTTTATAATTTGAAAAAAAAAATAAAAAAATAAAAAAAAGTAAATCAATTTAAAAAAAGTTTCTTGAAGGACTAATTGAATTTTTTTATATACGTCATCTAGGAACTTTTGGCCAACTTTTATATATATATATATATATCTCAAATCAGCTGTTACGATATGTAAAAGAAATTTATATATCATACGTATGATTTGTTGTTTTGTAACGAACAAAATTAAGAAATCGTACGTTAAGATAAGGAAGTTCTTGATTTACGTCTAATAAGAAGAAGATTATGGCACGAATTAGATAATCGATATTATTTTCCATTAGCAATCGATAAACGTGACAGATGTTAATTCAAAGGAACATTGTCGCCCGTGAATATTATTCCGCTCATTACAGCGAGCATTTTATATTTTAATTAATGGAAAAAAGAAACGAAAAAAGAAAAGAAAGGAAGAAAAAAAGAAAAAAAGAAAAAAAATAAAAAAAGAAAAAGAAAATTTATAATTACGTTATATCGTTAATACATATTTAATACATATATAACATTATATGTATCAGAAAATTAAAAACTAATACGAATCTTTCTTATCGAACGCGATTTTGTTTAGACCTTTTAACGTGTTCGTTTATTTATTTCGCCAAGACATTTTTTCTTTTCTTTCTTTCTTTTTTTTTTTTCCTTTATCTTTTTTTCCTTCCTTTTAATTAAACGCTTACGCATATTTTCTCTACCTTATTTTTTTCTTTTGTTTTTCTCTTTTCTTTCATCCTTACGTATATAATATATATCGTATGTAATATAAACTACTAAAATCGAATGAAATTCACGTCAACGTTTTCGTTAATCTTGACAAGAATAAAAAAAAAAAAAAAAAAAAAAAAAAAAAAAAAAAAAAAAAAAAAATCCTATAATACCTTGATCGTCTAAAAATGTGTATAGTTATTGAAGATAACGAAATGTAAATTGATGAATATAATATGGAAAATATTTATTATTAGTGTAAAAAAAAGTTATTACGTTAAACAAAAATATATGAACAGAACGAAAATAATAAAAAGTCGTAGACGATAATACGTGATCATTATTCATTAAAAAACGAATCATCGTTCGTATTTTGAGCTTTCTCTTTTATTTTCTTTTTTTTTTTTCCCAGTTACTTTTTTCTCTCTTTTCAAAAATTTCATCATCGTCAAAGAGAAATTCATCTCTATTGGAATATTCAATATATTCAAAAATATTCAATAAATATTTTTCTTTTCAGTAATATTTAATTCATTTAAAATCAGACGTTGATGTAATTTAATGAACGACATGTAACTTTGATCAATCATATTTAATTTATCAAGAAATTATCGTAAAATGAATATTCAATGAAAAATGAAACGACAAGGTTTTTATATATCTCATTGCAATTAATAAACGTGAATTATATTGAATTCGATTGAAATTAATACCTTCTTAAAATATGTATTATCGGAAGATTATTTTTTTTTTTTCTTTTATTTTTATTTATTTATTTATTTTTTTATTTTTTTTTATTTTCTTTTCTCTTTTTCTTTTTCAAATAATAGCAAAAAACAACAAAAACGTTGATAACGATCATGTTTCGTATCGATAACGTTTCTCTTTGGTATTTTTCTTTAATTTACGTTATTCATAAATTTCTCTTCAATTTTCGTTAGACATAAAATCGTTGAGAAGGAAAGAAAAATAGAGAAAAAGAGAGAGAAAGAGAGAGAGAGAGAAAGAGAGAGTGAGAGAGAGAGAGAGAGAGAGAGAGAGAGAGAGAAGGAAAAATTCAAAGCACGTTCATACGTATGTATATATGACGAAAAACATTGATTATCTGAATCATAGCTAAAAAAAATAAATTTCCATACTTATAAATAAAAAATAAAATCTAATAATATATTTATTCATTTTCATTCTCATCTTTATCTTTGTCATCTTCTATTTCACATAATCGTATTAATTGCTTAATCGAAAATATCGAATAGCTTGGCCAGATAATCAAAGTTTTATCATTACAAGATACACTGACAAATTAAGGACAAAAAATGATGATATTTGATTGTTATAATAACATTTCTTGAATAATTAAATTTCTTCTTCTTCTTCTTCTTCTTTTTCTTCTTCAAAGAAGTACTGCTCCGTTATTGGGCGAGGAAGTTCTTTCGTTAACGTCAGTGTCGTTACTGTTGCTATTGTTGTTGTTGTTATTGTTATTGTTGTTGTTGTTGTTAGAATTGGTCCTATTTAACATCTCTGTACCATTGTTATTCCTCGTCTTTGTGGTATCACGTGGTCCATTCAAAAAATACGTTATCATACTACCCTTTCCTTTAACCTGTATACTACCACGACAAGTAAGTGGATAACCTTTGGCCAATAGAATATCATGAACCTCGCGGGTGACCTGAATCCTATCCAAAACTCCAGTAGAATCCATTCTCGAGGCCACGTTTACGGCGTTACCCCAAATGTCGTATTGCGGCTTTCTTGCGCCTATCACCCCGGCAACAACCTGTGTACGCAAATATATATATATATATATATATGTATATATCTATTCTTATATGTATATCCACGAACTTACACAAATACAATTCGTATAATGAACAAATGAAATGGAACAAAAACAAAAATCAATACGAACGATTAATAAAACGATAAATGTTTTAAGAGTAACGATTCGAATTGTTGAGTAAGCTACGATAATATTTCGTTGTATATATATATATATATATATATATGTTTTTTTTACCGGTCCTATGTTGATCCCCACACGCATCCTAAAGTTGTTGAAACTATGTTCATTAACGTCAGCCAGCTGTTTGCGTATTCTTAAAGCATAGTCCGCCATCGCGGTCACATGTTTGTAGTCCCTCATGTCGCAGGTGCTTTTCGTCAGGCCTAATTGAAAGGGAAAAACGAGAGAAGCCGTTTATAAATAGGGAATACGTAACTAACATAAATACATACTTCGAAAATGTATGTTTGAATAACGAATAGGGATTACGCTTAATTGACTCTTCATTGACCGATGTTCAAATGGTTTATATTATTTTATTTATCCTTAAATCATATTGCAAAATTTATCAAATTGCAATTAATGTTTCATTCGATTTAATAGTTTGCGAGCTTTGAGATTTATGGCATTTTATTTTCTTTATTTTCTTTTTTAATTTTTCATTTTAAAGTCGAATAAATACGTGATTGTTATTTTCTTTTTTCTTTTTTTTTTTTTTTTTTTTGTATTTTGTTTAATAACATCTTCTTTCGTACAAGTACGTCGAAACGTTTTTTTATTTTTTGTTCGAAAGTGACAGAGAAAGGGGCAAAAAAATAATTAAAAAAAAAAAAAAAAAAAGGAAAAAAAATATGCGATACGAACCGGATGCTGCCATATAGGTGGCACCAGTACTCTTAATTTTCTCGATGTACTTAAATTGCTCCTCAGCTAGTAACTCGTCGAAGTCGGCGATGATTTCGTTGAGAAGTCGAAGGCACTCGACGCCCTCGTTATTTGCCTCTAACTCGACATAGAATTCCGAAAAGTTTGGGATGGAGGCGAACATTATGCAAACGAAGTCACATTGCTCGTGATAGAGCTCCTGTAAAAGGGTGTGTGCATTTCGATTACGTAGATGTAAATATATATAGATATTACCTATATACATAATACATAGATACACGTATAATGCGACCTTTTGAAAATTCTATTTTCCGAAATGTTCTGCTTTTCTCTTCTCTGCTCTTTGCTATTTTATCTATGTACATACGTATTATAAATATTTACGTATATATAATAATTTTCTTTAATAATTTTACTTAACGTTAAATTACAGAAATTAATTACTTCTTTCCTTAATGATCTCTCTTAATAATTATTAAATTTTAATCATTCTTTGAATATTCCCGTGTAATTATATCGTTCCATTTTAATTAAATATCTTATAAATTTATTTTGTTTCTACTCTCCTATAAGTTTTGCGATCTAAGTTTTACTTTACCCCACGTCTACCATTACTTTCATCTTACCATACCTTTCATCTCCCCAAAGACAATTTGTTTTACGAGTATCGTTTCTATTCACGATTAATTGAATTAATTGATTTTATCTTACGTCGGAATTAACGGTTGATAGAAAATGTGCGGCCACGTGTTCCGGTAGAATATTCGCCAATAATTTTTGATTGTAGGCCTTTAGATGTTCCATCTCTTCTTTCTCCTCGGTTGCTTGGAGTTTCCATAGGAAGTCTAATCTGCGGAGGAAATCAAAATGAAAGGAAAAAAAAAAAGAAAAAGAAAAAGAAAAAAAGAGAGAAAGGAAAAATTAATAAATAAATTTCTTAGTAATATATAAACTCTTTGATTTCTTCGATGAACATTTCAAATTCGTAGTAAAAATGTCTCTCACTCTCTCTCTCTCTCTCTCTCTCTCTCTCTCTCTCTCTCTCTCTCTCTCTCTCTCGTTATATATATATATATATATATATATATCGTTATATATATATATATATATATATATATATGTATATAATTAAATTCTATTGAACATACCTGTAGGTCGCTTCGGTATGTTGCGAATGTACAACCAGACACGCCATAAAAAAGACCACCAAAACACCGGCCAACCATTTTTCGGCGAGGTCTAAACGATCGTCGTTCATAGCTTGATAAATGCTAACACCTAAATAACAGGCCACGACGATGCTCAATACGGCGACCTTGAAGACCGAAGTTAAAATTTGATATACCGCACAGGTCACCATAACTAACATCACCAGAACGGGAAATAGCTGTCAAGGGAAAAGAGAAAAAACACAAAGAAAGAAATATACGAAATGTAAACATGTAAATAATGTCTGTGAAAGATCGTAATTACGATAAAGGACAAACATATTTAACGAAATCACTTTATCTCTCTCTCTCTCTCTCTCTCTCTCTCTCTCTCTCTCTCTCTCTCTCTCTCTCTCTCCCTTTCTCTTTCTCTCTCTCTTTTTCTTCATGAACATAAATATCAATTACAAGACCTATCGCGTTTATTTTTTTTTTTTTAACTCGCGCAAGTTCTCTTTTAAAGTCGTTCTATTCGTAATTGAAAAATAGGAAAGATACGAAAGATAATGTTATCAATCGAATGAACGTTTTAAACCTTTCTTTTTTTTTTTTTTTTTTTTTTTTAATTATTTCAATCTACTTTCAAGATCCTTTCGTATATATGTTTTCTAATCATCGAGTAAGTACATAATACTAATTTTGTTAATTAACTTATCGATTAATTTCGACCTAACTTTTATGCATCTCTCTTTTAACATTCCAACGATCGATACGATATTGAAATTTTATCAACAGTTGATCAAAAAAAAAAAAAAAAAAAAAGAAAAAGAAAGAAAAAGAGAAGAAAGAAAAAGATTAATGAAAATTCGATTAATGAAACATCGATCGAGATAGAAATTAATTCTAAGTAAATTATATGCAAAAAAAAAAAAAAAGAAAAAATAGAAAAAAGAAAGATCCTCTTATATATGCACGTATACATATGTACGTTCTAATCTATAGTAATTCTCGATTAGGCCGTAAATAATTACGATCTAAAAAAATTCTTGTACGTCCTTTTAATAATTCAATAATAATCGTATATTATAGACAAAGAAAATTTTCTTAAATTAAATTAAGAAAAAGATCAATGAGAAATTCTTCTCTTGTTTTCTTTTGATTCTAATATTGATTTGATTTATTTTATTATTTATTCCAAA